CATAGTAGCCTAATGAGGCATGCCATAATAGCGAAGATATTCAGACCAAGTGATCATAAATAAAGAAAGATAAAGAAAAGTAAAAAAAAAGAATAAACTGGACCCATCACCATACATACCAGTAAGATACATCTGAAGATTTCCATTACAAAGATATTCGAAGCACATAAACCTCTCTTGCACCATTACAGAAATACTTTTGCCTCTTTCCTTAGTCACATTCCCGTGTGTGTTAGCACAGTAACCTAGAAACCTTACTATGTTGCTGTGCTTAACACTCGTTAGGCCGTGGACACCATCCAGAAATAGTTTGTCATCAGTTGCAATTGCAAGCTTCTTCACAACAACAGTACTTCCATTTTGAAGATTTCCCTGTTTAACTTCCCGTGTTAGGATGAGCATGAGCATTCAGTTTTTTATCTCTCCATATTTAGCATTTCACTAAAGTATGGCAAAGATTGCTCAATTAAGAAGCAGGTATACCTTGTAAAGCACTCCAAACTCGCTTCTACCAATCTCTTGGTCATCAGAGAAATTATTTGTGATGTCTTCCAGGAGTGATAAATCGAGAGCTTTCGGCTCAGCACTTTCATCACATAGCATGCTCTCCAGGACATGATGTTTGCTAGCTTCAGCTGTTTTTTCTAGTCACATGAAACAAATAACAGCAGGTCATTTTAATTCATCTAAAATGTATGTTCTAAAATAATCTGGGTTACTATCAAACAGTAATTTGATCTGTACAGGTCCACAACCATGAGAAATGTTTTACAGTAATAAGAGGGGTAATGTGAATTAATTGCCTCCGCCACCAGGGCCAGGGCATGCTTAGGGCACTCCCAATGCTTGTTTCTTAGCACAGTTCATAGGAAAAAGAGGTAATATCACTGGAAGTCGTAGAACTTGCGCTTGATGTTCAGTTTAGTGCTATAACTTTGAAAATACGGATTTGTGATCATCTAACTTGACATCACGTGCATATACAGTCACAAAAAACGTATGCGGATGTATCAGGGTGTATGGCCCCACCAGTCAGTGAGCCATGGCGCTCCGTCAACTCATTTTTTGGACAAAACACCCTCGCATTTTTTATTTGCGGGAAAAGTGGCCACTGCAATGCATTTTTACAGCAGACCACCTTGCTTTTTTTATTTGCAAAAGAGCTGACCACTGTACTGCAAATAGGTACAAAAATTGGGGGGGCCGGGTCTCGAACCATGTTGCACACCCATGTTTACTACACAAGCCAGTCTAGGAAACACAGCCTTCACGTACGAATGTTTGGTAAGATAGCAAACCTACATGTACTCACGGTGGAGCTTAGATACAATTTTTTTTTAAAGGAAGACAGGTCTCGAGCACCAGACCGACGTATACAAGCCGAGACACTCTAGCCGATCCACGTACCATAAATATACATGTACTGAGTACGGACACATGTGGAGTTTAAATGAGTTGCATATACTGCGGCTCATTTTGCACTTTGTTATTATTTTGAAGATATTTGTAAAATGTAATTGCAAAGTTATGGTAGAAAAATATTATACATAAAAACAATCATTAGTAAATAAAAACCTTTTAATATAAGCTTGTGTATTATATAAAAAATACTTAGTTAATACCGACATTGATTTTTTTAATAAATATGTTTAAGGAATCAAAAGAATTATACACTCGTAGCTTATATTTAAATTATGTAAAGGGAAACCTGGTGCATGTAGCTCCCGCTTGCGCAGGGTCCAGGGAAGGGTCCGACCACTTTGGGTCTATAGTGCGCAGCCTTTCCCTACATTTCTGTAAGAGGCTGTTTCCAGGACTTGAACCCATGACCTCATGGTCACAAGGCAGCAGCTTTACCACTGCGCCAAGGCTCCCCTTCTTATATTTAAATTATGTAAAATGAAGAATTCAAACATTTACTAAATATTCACGAATACTCACTTGTGTATAATTTTTACACATGACTTATATTAAAAATATATATAACTGAAGTATTAGACAGGAGTTGAATATTCATATAAACAGTGTATATTTTAAATTATGAATATTTTTAGTTATACAAACATTAGAGATACAAATGTGTAAATATTTATTGAAATGTTTGTATAATTAAAATAATATTTTAATTGTAATTATGTGGAAATTTTATTTATTTTTGAATGATACGAGCATTTTTATAATTCATAAAAAATATTTAAATAGATGAATATTTTTTAAATAATGCATGAACAAATTTAAAAGTAGGTTAATTTTTTTGCGAGAAAACTTCCAACCTATTCATCTTCAATCATGGCAGTACAACGAACACCTACAACGAACAACGAAGATAATAAAAATTTCATCAAGATCCGTAGACCACCTAGCGACGACTACAAGCACTGAAGCGAGCCAAAGGCGCGCCGTCGTCATCGCCTCTCCCTCACCGGAGTCGTGCACAACTTGTTGTAGCAGACAGTCGGGAAGTCGTCGTGGTAAGACCCCATAGGACCAGCGCACCAGAACAGCGACCGCCGCTGATGAAGAATAACGTAGATTAAAGGATCCAACCCGAAGACACACGAACACAGACGAACAACAACCTGACCTGAGCAAATCCATCGAGGATAGATCCGCCGGAGACACACCTCCACACACACCCACCAATGATTCTAGACGCACCACCGGAACGGGGGCTAGGCGGGCAGACCTTTATTCCATCTTCAGGGAAACGCCGCCGTCTCGCCTTCCTGAGTAGGACACAAAACCTAACAAAACTCAAAGGAACGACTAACAACGGAGCCCTCCTATCAGACGTTGGCAGGATCCACCGTGCCCCATGGCCCTAGGGCTACCGGAGACGAGGCGGACCTGCGGCGGCATCGGCGAGAGGCACAACCCTAGCTTCTTCTGAAGGAGGAGTAAAAGTAGGTTATTTCGTTTGTATGTACAATATTTAGAACACACGTATATTTAGACGTTATTTTTATTGCTAAAGTTATAGTTTAAATACTATCTACAAGCTTCTAGTACAATAAGAATAGTTATTCAGTGTAGATTTGTACACGCACAGGTTGTAGTGGCTAGAACGTGTTGTATGCTACTCTTTGTTTGTGGTTTAGAGAGCTGGCGGCCATACTTATTCATGTGAATTTTCACTGTGTAATGACAGGTGGGACCCACTGCTCATAGATGGGAAAGAATGAATGTGATTTAAGCTCCACGTTTAGTACATGTAGGTTTGCGATCCAGTCATGATATGGGAATGTGAAGGTTAGAATGGTTAGAGTGGCTTGTGTCATGATCATTGGTTGGGGTTCGAGAACTAGTGCCCCTATTTTTTGTTTTAATTTTCGTACATTTTTCGAGTACAAAGGTTAGCTTTTCTGCAAATAAAAAGTGAGGGGGTTTTGTGTAAAATGCGGCGGTCGGTTTTTTTCACAAATAAAAATGCAAGGGTGTTTTGTGCAAAAATGAGTAGGCCGAGCGCCATCACTCACTGACAGGTGGGGCCATACACCATGATACGTCCGCATACACGTTTTGTGACCGTATTTGCACGTGATGTCAAGTTAGTTGACCAAAAATTCGTATTTTTAAAGTTCTAGCACCAAACAAACATCGAATGCAAGTTCTGAGATGTCATGATAATTAAAGAAGAGAAAGGGGAGAATTGTATGTTAGTGGAGATAAGGCTCTTTGCTCCTTTCAATATGAAGTGTAATTAATGCTCTGATCCGGTGTGGCTTCTCTTCCTATGTTTCTCTCCACAACTAGACCACTGTTGAGATGCAAATGTGATCCTTAACCCAATTAAATGCAACACCCTTAGATACAGCATCTAAGAGACAATGCATTGGGGTGGTTGTCTCTAAAAACTATCCACCACCTCGGATAACACATTAAAGAGCCAATGCATTGGGAGCGCACTCGCACGTGTTATGGGGTGCGCATGTGAGATGATGTGTGTGTCTACCTTGTAATTGCAAAAAAAAAAAAAGAACTCATCCCAACTTCCTGCGCAGAAGATATCACTAGTCAGGGATTTTACGAAGCTATCCAAATCCACAAGGAGTTTGATATTTGTGGATGACCTGATTGTAGCGTACAAGTAAATGGGGCACGAAAGAAACAGAAATACCTGACTTCGGATGACATGAAGCGACACTAGATGGCAGGTCAGGATTTTGTGACAACCTGAGGATAACATATTTACTTTTGGTTAAAACACTATCAGACGATAAGATAAAACTGATAATATAATATTGTAAGCTTTGGTTTGGCACAACTTCATCCTAAATGGTTTACGGTACAGGAAATCTCCAGTAAATATTTTCTATAGCACTTGGGTCTTTCACGTAATAATTTTTGCCCAGAGCCCAGAGAAAAATGTTCAGACTGGAGGAAAGAAGTGAATGAAAAAACAGCGATCTTGCGAAGAATTACTGCTAGAATAAGAAAGATCCATACCAGTCATCATCATATTTGTTTGTGTCTTCAGCTTTCTCTAGAACCCCGTGTATTTCACCTAATAACCCTCTTTCTTGCCTCTGATGCTGTTTTTCTGAATGACGATATTCTTCCTCAAGCGGATCCACCCATTTTACACTAAAATTTGGACACCTTGGATGCTTGCTAATGGCTTCCTTGAATGCTGACTCAGAGGCCCTCCAGCCAGATTCGGTGGCAGCCCCAATTTGTCCAGCAACATCCTGGAGATTTATAAGGTGCTCAACTCCGGCAAGCATATTATCATACTTCTCTCCAATATGTGTGTTAAAACGTAGCTTGAGCCTCCGAAGATTGCGCATGGCTCCTGACATGAAAGACATGCAAAGTATACCACACCTGAACTTGAAATACTTGAGAACTGGGAAAGCCCCATCATTGAAGACGATCCTTCGCTCAGGAGCTGTCTGGACACACAATGAGAGAACCCTGAGGGAATGTAATCCTGTGAGGCTATCAATATCATTCATCAGCAGTTCTCTAACAGCAATTTTCAAATTGCAGAGTTTGTGGAGTTATCCGATCCACTTGGGAAATCTAGAAAAGGCGCATATCGATGGTAACAACTCAAGCCTCTCGAGAAAGACAGGAGTAGAGTACATGCTCCTCGAGCCATCAAAAAGAACAGCCGTGCCAGCAGTACCAGAAGCCAACGTGAAAGATTTGAGGTTACCCAGTTTCCCAAGTGATGTAGCCAGAGCTATCAGTTTTTCCTTCAAATGTTCACCAGATAGTGACAAAGAATAGGTGAGATGAAGATCCCGCAGGTTTGTAAGATCGCCAAGGCCCCATAGATTGTCTTCAGAGCTACTGCCAAGGTCAAAATACATGAGTGTACGTAGAGACCTCATGCACCCAACCCCGTCGGGTAGATTTGTCCCACTTCCAAGACGGAGATGCAACAAGTTAGAAAGTCGAACAATGTCCGGTGGAACAGCACATACTTCTGCATTTATTTCCAGTGTTTCCAAGTGTTTCATCGGTTCAATCTCATCTGGAAGCTTTACAGTGACATTACATGTGACCTGCAAATATCTCAACCAAAACAGTTCACAAATTCCTTCAAGGCTGAAACTCGTGTTTCCAATGTCACCCCAAAAATGAAGAATTAGAACTCGAAGAAGCTTAAACACCATGAATGAAGGCACACAGTTAAACAAGCCAGAAAAGAAGAGTGATCGAACTTGTGATAATCCGACACTTGATGGCATGGTTGCATATGTTGCACTACCAAAGTGGAGCGACAATCGACGAACTTTATCAGTAACCGGTATTGCCATTTGAGAAAAATCGACTAGAGTGATAGAATTCTCTTCAATGGACTTGTATGTAATGAGATCAAGTACCATGTGATGCACTGAATAAGACAAAACCTCATAATTATAGTTGATATCCATAGCTTGGATCAGGCCTGTACTGACAAGCTCATCAAAATAGCTCCCGGCAACTTCCTCCATGTCTTCCCCTTCTTTTGCACATATGAAGCCCTCAGCTACCCATTGCTTTACCAAATCACCTTTCAAGAATTGGCAGCCCTCTGGACAGATACTAAGGTAAAGCAGACATGTCTTTAAATAATGTGGAAGACTACTTAGACTCATGTTTAATATTTGCCCCATAAATCCATCCATGGTATGGTTTGCCCCAAAAGAATTCTGCATACATCCCAATTGCTCTAATTTCTCAGGTTGGCTTGCCAAAAGGCTGGCTGCAATGATGATTGCTAATGGCAAGCCACCACAATTTCTCTTAATCTGGGGTAGAACATTATCAAATTGTTGAACCCCTGAGGCAAGAACTCTTTGGAGTAATAATTTCTCCGAGTCATCATCACTAAGAGATTCCATTTTAAAAATATGCTTAGGGCAAAAACCACAGCATGCCATAGCTACTTCCATAGTTTCTGTTGTAGTTATTATTCTGCTGCAACAATTACCCTCTGGGAAAGCACGACTTAAAACATCCCATACTGATGTAGCCCATAAGTCATCAATTATAATAAAGTACCTGACAAATATTTTAAACAAACATGCATATTAGCCAAACACCAAATGATAATATCAAATGGAAAAATGAAAATAAGCTTATGTACATCATTAGTTTCTTTGGGATATGAGAATTCAGAAAGTTCAGGTATACAGCGCACACCATGGTTAGCTAGCAACATCACCTCTGTCTCTCTGATTTTTATATAATGCCAAAGCACAAGTTTCATGGAATGACATTCTTTCAGCATTACTACATTACTGCCCCAACGTCTTATATTTAGGAATTGAGGTAGTACCTCTTATCACGTAGATATTCCCTGAGATCACGGATCAGGTGGGCCATCTCGCCAGGGTCCGGCGGCTGGTGCTGACGGACTTGCGAGAGTATGCTCCTGATGATTCCCCTCATATCGGGCTTTCGGGCTGTCCGCACAAATGCCCGGCACTCGAACTGTCCGCGGAGCATACCCCATAATTTTTGTGCAAGAGTGGTCTTGCCGATTCCTCCCACACCAAAAATCGACACTACCTTGAGCTCCTCTTCTCCGTCAATCAAGTACCGGCGAAGCTCATCCACTGGGCCTTCTATGCCAACTAGATCACCCGTATCCAGCGAAACAACCGGAAGCTCAGGGCTGCCCACACCAGAGTTTCCAGGATCTGAGGCGCAATCATAAAGCTTATACCTCCAGTACCGATGGGTCGCCTCCTGCGCTCGACTCCTAAATTCTGAGACCTTGTCCGCGATCCACCGGCGCCACCTCCACCTCTCCGGAAGGCGGCTGAGCTTCAACCGGGTGATAGTCTTCCGGCGAGCAGCTCTGCGGATCTTGGCGCGGCCGTCAGCGCGGACGAACTGATCCGCGCAGTCCACCATGTCGTAGGACAGCTCCCGCACCTCCTTCATCCAGTACCTCGCCGCCAGGGGAGGGTCCTGAGCATTCAAGAGCTTCACAAGGAGCTCGTGCAGAGTGTGGAGATCGGCTGCCAGCTGCTCGATCTCATCCGTGACGGCCCCCTTCAGTGCCCAGTGCCCGGTCGCCAGGAGCTCGTCGAGCTTCCGTGGGAGCGAGCCCATGGCGCCCAGCGAGGCACTGATTGGGCTCGGCTCCATGACGATGCTCTGTGTCACCAAAAAGGGGATCTTTAGGTGTATTTCACTATCACTGGATCGGTAAGTGAAAGAGGATAAATAAAGTGAGGAAAAGGAACCTGTGGAAGAAGATATCCGGAATTGGACGATGCGGGGACTGCAGCAGGGCAGAATCCCCTCCGGTGGAGGAGAGCGGGTGACGTCGCCGGCGCTCACCGCAGAAGAGGCGGCGACTCAGGGTCAAGGATTGGGAGGCGGCGACTCAGGGTCAGAGATGGAAATGGAGCCGGCGAGATTTCCCTCCCTGAGAATCGAGAACAAAGACGAGGACGGCGGCAAGATGCAGCAGGTTGGCTCCGGGCGGAAGAGGAAAGTCCTTTTCTATTCCAGATCGAAGAAGAAGAAGGAGGGTTAGGTTGAGAAGAAAAGAAATAAGTAAAACGCATCCAATGGTCTCAAACTTATCTACTCCCTCCGTCTCAGTTTACAAGTCCTACATGTATACCTAGGTTGCTAATTTTATCACCATAATATAAATTATGTAACACAAAGATTATACTGTTTGAAAGTAGAACATATGAGGTTTATATTGGTATATTATTTATAATATATGACTTGTATTAGTTTGGTCAAATTGACGACCTAAGAGTACGCGCACGCCCTGTAAACTGAGAGAGAAAGTACAAGTTTTGCCGTCTCTACAAGCAAGTTCTGAATAGACACCAAAGGAGGTATTGGGGTTGATAGCCATCTAAGGGCATCTTCAACACTGACCCGCAAATTTGCGGCATCCGTCCATGGACAGGAAACCAGTCCACGGACACAGATACCGGAGGCCGCCATCCAACGCTGCCCGCATACATTTAAACCATGGTTCAACTTAAACGGACAAAATTCATGCAAACATGATGAATTTTCATATAAACCGAAAGAGATTCATGCAAACACGAGGATTTCATATAAACCAGACGAAATTCATTACATTTCGATAATACTTCAACTAAAAGTTATAATTCCGGACATACTTCAACTAATCACCTAGTCTAAACCTAATCTAAATGATCGTTAGCGCCCGTTCCCCGTGTCCGGCCATGAGCCCCGAAAACTGAAGCTCCGGCATTTGCCTTCGCCTTCTTCAGTTTCGCCTCAACGCTCTCCAGCTCTGTCTTCGCAGCCTCCGTCACCGCAGCTTGAGCGGCTAGTAGGCCGATGATTTTCAGTCCATCAAGTTTGGCTTCTGGTGGAGGGGAAGAGCGATGGCCTTCCTGGGACCCGAGCGGCAACGACAAACCATGCACTGCTCTTCATTGTTGCCAGCGGCGGAACGCGGCCTTGGCGGAGCCGGCGATGTCCTCCTCGTCGTCGCTCTTGCCCCACACCTCCTCGACCGTCACGTCGAACTTCTTGTAGGCGGCCTCCAGTTCCGCCCGGCGCTGGCGGTATTGCTAGTGGTAGCGACGGATCTCCCGGGCGGAGCAGTAGGACTCGAGCAGCGTCGCTTGCTCCGCCGCGTCCGCGTCCGGCGCGATGGCCCTGTTGACTATGAGCAAGTCCTCCGCCTACTAGTGCTCCTCGAGGAGCTATAGGTTGTAGGCCTCATCAGCCTGCGCTTCCCGGAACCGCTCCTTCCACACCATGTCCATGTAGTGGGCACGGCCTCGTCGATGGTCATGTTGCAGTGCACCGGCGAGGGGGGCGCCGAATCTTCCTCGGACGTGTCCTTCATTGGGACGTCGTCGGCCTTCCAGCCGGCAGCAAAGGCGGCCGTCTCCTTCTGCTCCGACGATAGTCCGTCCTAGAGAGCTTTGGAGCGCGAGTAGGCCATGGTGGGCGTGGTGCGAAGAGAAGAAAGGGACCATATGAGGATGTCTGTGGCTATGGCTAGGGCTAGAGTTTGTATAGTGGGCGAATGACAATGGTTGGCGGCAGACGGATGGACGGTGGCACAGGAGTAGGTTCCTCGGCAACCATGTGTCATTAATGTAGGTCACCGGATGACCATGGCGTCATTTGAATGCGGAGTAATCGCATGCATTGGGAAGTGGCGCGCGGGGGGGGGGCGCTCTCTCGGCCGGCGTGCCGCTTTTAATGTCGGCGCTAGTGAGAGGTCGTGTCCACACTGGCCGGGAATGAATGCAGCACTGACGGTTTGGAGCGGCGCCGGTCGTTTTGAGAAGGAAGTGCGCGGGCGAGGGAAGGGGTTTAGATGGGCCACGATTGCTAGACGCAGATGTGTCAACGGTCCAGACGCCGACAAAGCTCCTCCCACTTTGTCTTTGGTTTATAGAAAAAAGTATGTCCAGGTCGCTCCGCGGACCGATACATGACCTTGTTGGATGGTATAACACGTCTGGACCATGCGCTTCAGACGTGTGCAGGCAGTTTGAGGGTCCGCGTTGAAGATACCTTAATTTTTGTTTGCTTCACATTGATTGTCATCGTCCTTGCTTAGTTTCCTGCATTATGTTGACACATATTTTTTGCTCGCTGGATGGGATTGGCTTCCACTTTGCACCATGAGAATGGGAAGAAGGCATTTATTATGTCCATTTGTTGGGTGGGGACGAATGGTTTCGGTAAATGCTTTGCATCAATAACTATAGTCTGATAAGGGTTTAGGGTTAATAGTATAGCCAGTTGCTGGCTATAAGAAAGTGTCATGTCATTAATAGCCAATTCTATAGCCAACATATATAACAATTAGCTATAAGTATATGCTAATTTATTAATACATGGCTCATCTTTCACTCTCACACAATGTCTAGGAGCACGTGCTGCAGCAGCCCGCATACATTCTCTCTCCTATCCTCTCTCCTCCAACTAAGAATAAAAATATTATTTTACTCCTTATAGCCTGCTGACTGTACCTTATTGTACTTGCTCTAAAAATCCAACGTGGTCGATCACTGATGACCCACAAGTATACGTCTATCGTAGTCCTTTCGATAAGTAAGAGTGTCGAACCCAACGAGGAGCAGAAGAAAATGACAAGAGGTTTTCAGCAAGGTATTCTCTGCAAATGCTGAAATAAGTGTTAACAGATAGTTTTGTGATAGGATAATTTGTAACAAGCAACAAGTAACAAAAGTAAATAAAGTGCAGCAAGATGGCCCAATCCTTTTTGTAGCAAAGGACAAGCCGGAACAAACTCTTATATAAAGAAAAGCGCTCCCGAGGACACATGGGAATATCGTCAAGCTAGTTTTCATCACGTTCATTTGATTCACGTTCGGTACTTTGATAATTTGATATGTGGGTGGACCGGTGCTTGGGTGCTGTTCTTACTTGAACAAGCATCCCGCTTATGATTAACCTCTATTGCAAGCATCCGCAACTACAATAAAAGTATTAAGGTAAACCTAACCATAGCATGAAACATATGGATCCAAATCAGCCCCTTACGAAGCATTGCATAAACTAGGGTTTAAGCTTCTGTCACTCTAGCAACCCATCATCTACTTATTACTTCCCAATGCCTTCCTCTAGGCCCAAATAATGGTGAAGTGTTATGTAGTCGACATTCACATAACACCACTAGAGGCTAGACAACATACACCTCATCAAAATATCGAACGAATACCAAATTCATATGACTACTAATAGCAAGACTTCTTCCTTGTCCTCTGGAACAAACGTAACTATTCACAAAGCATATTCATGTTTATAATCAGAGGGGTAATAATATGCATAAAGGATCTGAACATATGATCTTCCACCAAATAAACCAACTAGCATCAACTACAAAGAGTAATTAACACTACTAGCAACCTACTAGCACCAATCCCAGACTTGGAGACAAGAATTGGATACAAGAGATGAACTAGGGTTTGGAGATGAGATGGTGCTGGTGAAGATGTTGATGGAGATTGCCCTTCCCGATGAGAGGAGCGTTGGTGATGACGATGGCGATGATTTCCCCCTCCCGGAGGGAAGTATCCCCGGCAGAACAACTCTACCAGAGCCCGAGATTGGTTCCGCCAAGGTTCCGCCTCGTGGCGGCGGAGTTTCGTCCCGAAAGGTTGCTTTTTGTTTTTTCCTCGACGAAAGCTTTCATATAGCAGAAGATGGGCATCGGAGAGCCACCAGGGGGCCCACGAGGTAGGGGGCGCCCCCACCCTCGTGGACAGGGTGTGGGCCCCCTGGCCTTCATCTTTGGCAGGTATTTTTCATTATTTATTATAAGATATTCCGTGGAGTTTCAAGACTTTTGGAGTTGCGCAGAATAGGTCTCTAATATTTGCTCCTTTTCCAGCCTAGAATTCCAGCTGTCGGCATTCTCCCTCCTTATGTAAACCTTGTAAAATAAGAGAGAATAGCCATAAGTATTGTGACATAATGTGAAATAACAGCCCATAATGCGATAAATATTGATATAAAAGCATGATGCAAAATGGACGTATCAATTCCCCCAAGCTTAGACCTCGCTTGTCCTCAAGCGAAAGCCGATAACGATAAATATGTCCCCATGTTTAGAGGTAGAGGTGTCGATAAAAATAAAATACGGACATGAAGGCATCATGATTATTCTCATAACATCAACACATATAGATATTGTCATATGATTACTTATGTTCAAGTGATGATCTATTCACAATGCAAAAGTATGAATCAGAGACCTTATTGAGAACCAACAAACTATAACCTCAGTCATTGAAGCAATTGCAATTTATCATAACATCGGAAAGAGTCTATGTCAGAGCTAAAAAAGCAAGTCCACATACTCAACTATCATCTAGTCCTTCATAATTGCTAACACTCACGCAATACTTGTGGTTACAGAGTTTTAATCGGACACAAAGAAAGATAGGGGCTTATAGTTTCGCCCCACAACCTTTTACCTCAAGGGTAATGTCAACAATAATAACTCATGCTCCCCTACATCCAATTATATATCCGAAGGATTAGCTAGCTTTTACCTCAAAGGATTAGCTAGCAGTTTTTCTATCATACCCGAAGGAAATTCAAAAGGAGTTTCATTTTCAATAGGTTCAGTAGGTTGAGGAGCAACTCTTTGCTCTACT